GGAGTCTCCGGCAAGAAGGAACCGGAGGGGTCGGGTCGGCAGGGATATATATACCCTGGAGCGGGGCGCCGCTCTGGCGGGAAGGAGGGGGCCCTGCCGGCCCAACGGGAGCCGCTAAGGGAAAAAGTTTCCGACGTCCGTGCACGCGGCGCGCGTACACCTAATGTGTAATGGACGTGAACAACACATCTCAAAGAACAACAGTTACAGAAGGTAAGTAACCGTTCTATACGGGGGCTATCGTGGTGTCTCAAAATCTTCAAGAATGACCAAAATGACTATTTTGTTATCACTGCCACAGTTTCCGAGTACAGGTGCATCATAGGATCCTTCTGCCTTGCTCTCTTCTCCAGTGGACTTAAAAGTGAAACCTATATATTGGCCCATCCTTTCTAAACCTCGCTTAGCCCAGACTTCCATTCCCCAATAATTATCTGCCTCTCTTCTTCCCTGTACTCATGGTATAGCTTGCCATGGGCTGACTGCTTGCTTTAATGCACCTGATCAATCAGCAGTGGTTGCTGTAGAGTGATATATGACTACGTTACTTTCTGCTCAGCAGTTTGAAGCACATATCTCTTATTCTTCTAGCCTTGGTATAGAGTTGGAGACCAAATCTAGAATTTAAGCATAGGTTTATTTCTATTTAGTGCATAGTGCTATTTCTGGACTACCAATATAACTAAGAGAGGAAGAGAAAAATGTTTGAAATTAAGAACAAGCTGCACATAAAGTCTTCTCCAGTATTCTGTTTGCTGCAAATTTTTATTTTTTTAACTTTTATTCTTCAGTGTAAAACTTTCTAGAAAACCTCTGCTTGAAATATGCTTGGGATTCTGACAGGAAAAGATTTCTTGATACTAGCTCAGTATCTTTCCTGCCCTGTTATATAGAAAACAGGATAGAAAGATTATTGAAACTATTACATTAGGGCTAATGTTATATCCTATCCCTTCATATTGATCTGTAAGTTGTTCCATTGGCTTTCTTTCTCTTTCCTGTTGCTTTCTTGCTTCGTTATTGAAGGGAGGATTCAGACCCATCCAGGTAATTTTAACTACTGGTTCTGCATGGCATAAGTGTTTCTTTATCACATATTTCATTATTAAATTAATGAATGTATTAATGTATGATGCATATCTTACCTGTTTAGTTTCAAGATTATTAAGACTGTAGTAGGAGTGAGGGCTTCTAGTGCCCTGAATGCTTCCACATCCCAGATGCTGATGCTTGTCTTAAAGAGAGTTGAGACCTGAGCCACATATCATCAGGTTGCTTTGTTCCCTGGGGTTTCTGTGTGGGCTACACTTGTGTGGTGGGTTACTTTATGCAAGTGTGCTGGAAAAGTTTGGTGCAACTTAGAAAGGGGTTGCCACCTTTTTGAAAAAGGAATGCAGGACATGTAGGCCCTTCAAACTTTCAGCAGGGTAAAGAGGATAAGTATGGGGGGACCTACAACCCCCATAAAAGTCTGAATTTTAGCTTTTCTGGAATTTTTTCAATGCAGTTTCCTTGATCTTTTACTGCCTTATCAAATCACTTATAAAGTTGGTATTTTTCTCAATCTACTCCACCTATAAAGTACATTTTGCATAGAATCCTTTCCTCCGACCTTTAGTCTGAAAGCTGGTGCATATAATTCACTAGACACACATTAATAGTTACACCATTATAGTTTAAAACTTAACTGTTTGCTCTTAGTCTGTCTTTCTCACTTTGTGCCTAGTAAAACTGAGGATTGTGTGTAAATGGCCATTGTTAAAACACTAATGGAAACTGTCCTGCAATTTTCTGAATGGGTGGCAACCCTCTGAAAGTGTGTTTGTTTGTTTTAAATTACAGTATGGTTTTCTCTACTATTATTTGATATTGCAAATTCATTTTCTTTTCAGGAAAAAAATAACTTTTTGACTTTTTTTGTTTTCGTTTTTTGCTTCCCTCCTCTAGTTTTTTCAGCGGCCTCAACTACAGCCTTCTAGAGCTGCCATCCAGAACAGCAGCCCTTCTATCCGTCCTGGTGCGCAAACACCAACTGCAGTCTATCAAACCAACCAACACATCATGATGGTTAACCATCTGCCAATGCCGTATCCAATGCCCCAGGGCCCCCAGTACTGTATACCACAGGTAATATATTGCCTAAGCACATATGAACTTGGAAGAGATACAGTTATTTCTCCTGGATTAAAAGAAGGTAATCTTTGGGACTGCAGGAAAGGTGGAGGAAAAGGCTGATATAATTAGCAGCATAACCCCTGTCCTTTTTCTTCTTTAAATGTATATATTTATCTATTAAGTCAGAGGATAATCATAAATTGTATCCTTTTTATATTTGGGATAAATTATTATTGTAGAATTTATTCTCTTCCTCTGAAAGAGATGATGGAAAACTAAATTCCTCAAAAACATCTAGTACTGTAACGGCTCATAAATTGATTTAAGAGCTATGCTATTACTATTAAACATTGGGCTTTCTTTGAGTCCTGCATTACAGAAATGAGGGGAATTAAATCAAGTTGACTATGGTCTGCCTCAGCACTGATTTGCTGCATATTTTTACCTCAAATGACACAGCATGCATTTCATTATGTCATTTTATTTTGCGGGGGCAGGCAGCATTCTGAATCTGTGTTTAAAAGGACTTCATAGTCTCATTTTTAGGAATTTTTTAAAACCAGGTTAATTATAGAATCTGTATGTAATGCCATATCATATGACAATTATTTGTAAATTCCTCGTAATTTTTCTCTCCCAGTATCGTCATAGTGGCCCTCCTTATGTTGGGCCTCCACAGCAGTATCCTGTTCAGCCACCAGGGCCAGGCCCATTTTATCCAGGCCCGGGTCCTGGAGAATTCCCCAATGCCTACGGTAAGCGGGGTGGAGGATTGTGCATGGTTTGGGGAAGGAAGGTGTTGCTGGATATTTGGGGTGGGGAGATGTTTCTGGGTTTGTTATTTTTCTACAGCTGGTTTAATATTGTAAAGCCAAAATAATTCATTTCAATTCGAAACAGCTGCTAAATTTGAGCTTGTTGTGCTTCTGATTAATCACTCTGTGATCATACATGCACACAGTTTTTTGTTTGCATGAATGTTAGCAGAATAGCTGTTGTTCATACAAATATTCTCAATCATGTGCAAAAAGGAGTATTCATGTGTGAACAAGAGTATTGGCTGTTTGTTATTCACTGTCTAATCATTATTATTATTATTATTAAGGCTGTTGATTAATTGCAGTTAACTCACACAATGAACTCAAAAATTGATTGCGATTAAAAAAATTAATCGCGATTAATCGCACTGTTAAATAATAGAATACTAATTTAAATGTATTAAATATTTTGGGATGTTTTTCTACATTTTCAAATATATTGATTTCAATTACAACAGAGAATACAAAGTGTACAATGCTCACTTTATGTTATTTTTATTACAAATATTTGCACTGTAAAAATGATAAAAGAAATAGTATTTTTCAGTTCACCTCAGACAAGCACTGTAGTGCAATCTCTTTATCAGGAAAGTGCAATCTACAAATGTAGATTTTTTTTGTTACATAACTGCACTCAGAAACAAAACCTCAGTCCTAATTCTTGTTCAGCCAATCGCTAAGAGAAACAAGTTTGTTTATATTTATGGGAGATAATGCTGCCCACTTCTTATTTACAATGTCACCTGGAAGTGAGAACAGACGTTCACATGGCACTGTTTTAGCTGATATTTACATGCCAGATGCACTAAAGATTCATATGCCTCTTCATGCTTAGGCCATCGTTCCAGAGGACATGCTTCCATGCTGATGACGCTCGTTGAAAAATAATGCATTAATTACATTTGTGGCTGAACTCTTTGGGGGAGAATTATATGTCTCCTACTCTGTTTTACCGCATTCTACCATATATTTCATGTTATAGCAGTATTGGATGATGACCCAGCACATGTTGTTCGTTTTAAGAACACTTTCACTGCAAATTTGACAAAATGCAAAGAAGATATCCATGTGAAATTTCTAAAGATAGCTACAGCATTCAACCCAAGATTTAAGAATCTGAAGTGACTTCCAAAATCTGAGAGGGATGAGGTATGGAGCATGCTTTCAGAAGTCTTAATGCAAAACTCTGATGCAGAAACTACAGAACTCAAACCACCAAAAAAGAAAATCAACCTTCTACTGGTAGCATCTGACTCAGATGATGAAAATGGATATGTGTCGGTCTGCACGGCTGTGGATCGTTATCGAACAGAGCCCATCATCAGCATGGATGCATGTCCTCTGGAATGGTGCTTGAAGCATCAAGCGACATATCAATCTTTAGCGCATCTGGCATGTAAACATCTTGCAATGCCGGTTACAACAGTGTCATGCAAACGCCTGTTCTCACTTTCAGGTAACATTGTAAACAAGAAGTGGGCAGCATTATCTTCTGCAAATGTAAACAAACTTGTTTGTCTGAGTGATTGGCTGAACAAGAAGGAGGACTGATTGGACTTATAGGCTCTAAAGTTTTACATTGTTTTATTTTTGAATGCAGGTTTTTTTGGTACATAATTCTATATTTGTAAGTTCAACTTTTATGATAAAAAGATTGCACTACAGTACTTGTATTAGGTGAATTGAAAAATACTATTTCTTTTGTTTTTTACAGTGCAAATATTTGTAATCAAAAATAAAGTGAGCACCGTACACTTTGTATTCTCTGTTGTAATTGAAATCAATGTATTTGAAAATATAGAAAGTTTGGTTGTTATACTAATTATTAAAATTGCTTAGGATCCCAAAATAGTGTAGTTTTAACAAATGCTGACTCACTTAAAAGGAAATAAACTCTAAATGAAAATAAGTTATAACTTCAGTTATCATTTACTTGTCATGAACCAAGGTCTGGACTTTTTTTTGTTTATTCAGCAACAGTTAATCATAGAATCATAGAACTGGAAGGGACCTTGAGAGGTCATCTAGAACAGTGCCTGGCACTCATGGCAGGACTAAGTATTACCTAGACCATGCCTGACAGGTGTTTGTCTAACCTGCTCTTAAAAATCTCCAATAATGGAAATTCCACAATGTTCCTAGGCAATTTATTCCAGTCCTTAACAACTCTGACAGTTAGGAAGATTTTCCTAATGTCCAATCTAAACCTCCCTTGCTGCAATTTAAGCCCATTGCTTCTTATCCTATCCTCAGAGGTTAAGAAAAACAATTTTTCTCCCTCCTCCTTGTAACAACCTTTTACGTACTTAAAAATGTTATCATGTCCCCCCCTCAGTCTTCTCTTTTCCAGATTAAACAAACCCAATTTTTTCAATCTTCCCTCATAGCTCATGTTTTCTAGATGTTAATCATTTTTGTTGCTCTTCTCTGGACTCGCTCTAATTTATCCACATGCTCCCTAAAATGTAGCGTCCATAACTAGACACAATACTCCAGTTGAGGCCTAATCAGCGCAGAGTAGAGCGGAAGAATTACTTCTCGTGTCTTGCTTACAAGACTCCTCCTAATACATCCCAGAATGATGTTCGCTTTTTTTGCGAGAGTATTACATTGTTTACTGATATTTACCTGGGGGTCCACTATGACCCCCAGATCCCTTTCTGCAATATTCCTTCCTAGGCAGTCATTTCCCATTTTCTATGTGTGCAACTGATTGTTCCTTCCTAGATGAAGTACTTTGTATTTGTCCTTATTGAATTTCATCCTATTTACTTCAGACCATTTCTCCAGCTTGTCCAGACATTTTGAATTTTAATCCTATCCTCCAAAGCACTTGTGACCCCTCCCAGCTTGGTATCAACCACAAACTTTATAAGTGTACTCTGTATGCCATTATCTAAATAATTGATGAAGGTATTGAACAGAACTGGACCCAGAACTGATCCCTGCAGGACCCCACTCATTATGTCCTTCCAGCATGACTGTGAACCACTGATAACTACTCCCTGGGAACGGTTTTCTAACCAGTTTTGCACCTACCTTATAGTAGCTCCATCTAGGTTGCATTTGCCTAGTTTGTTTATGAGAAGGTCATGCGAGACAGTGTCAAAAACTTTACTAAAGTCAAGATATACAACATCTACTGCTTTCCCCTTATCCACAAGACTTGTTACCCTGTCAAAGAAAGCTATCAGGTTGGTTTGACATGATTTGTTCTTGACAAATCCATGCTGACTGTTACTTATCACCTTATTATCTTCTAGGTATTTGCAAATTGATTGCTTAATTATTTGCTCCATTATCTTTCCGGGTACAGAAGTTAAGGTGACCGGTCTGTAATTCCCCGAGTTGTCCTTATTTCCCTTTTTATAGATTGGTACTATATTTGCCCTTTTCCAGTCTTCTGGAATCTCTCCCGTCTTCCATGACTTTTCAAAGATAATCGCTAATGGCTCAGATATCTCCTCAGTTAGCTTCTTGAGTATTCTAGGATGCATTTCTTCAGGCCTTGGTGACTTGAAGACATCTAATTTGTCTAAGTAATTTTTAAACTTGTTCTTTCCCTATTTTTAGCCTCTTCTGATTCTTCCTCATTTTCACTAGTGTTCACTGTGTTAGATGTCAAATCACCGCCAACCTTCTTAGTGAAAACTGAAACAAAGAAGTCATTAAGCACCTCTGCCATTTCCACATTTTTTTGTTCTTGTTTTTCCCCTCTCATTGAGTAACGGACCTATCCTGTCCTTGGTCTTCCTCTTGCTTTTAATGTATTTGTAGAATGTTTTCTTGTTACCCTTTATGTCTCTAGCTAGTTTGATCTCATGATATTGTGATAGTGACTTACATTTATAATAGTACACTTATCCCAAAAGTTTACAGTGATGTCACCAACCCTGGATTGTGTTATCTCTGAATGAATTGGGCAGTAGAAAAGGGCTGATCATAAGGGAGACAATTTCAGTTTATATTTCTGAAATCATCACTGCAGGAGAAATAAAGAAAATAAATGTGGCAATGACTCTTCTAATTCTGATAAAGTAACTTGGAGAATACATGGTGTAGCTTGCATGGTGTCAAGTAACAGGGGGTAGCCGTGTTAGTCTGTATCTACAAAAACAACAAGGAGTCTGGTGGCACCTTAAAGACTAACAGATTTATTTGGGCATAAGCTTTCGTGAGTAAAAACCTCACCTCTTCCAGTGAGGTGTTTACTCAC